CAATGATACAGTCCCAGTGCGTGTTGGACCAGTCTCATACTTGCTCCTCTCTAAACCTGCCATGGGTGTTCACAGATCTTTCTCTCTTCTTTCACTTCTTGGTAGTATTTTCCCATCTACAAGTAAGCATCTACACAGAGCAGCCAACATATTAATATTCACCAAATACATGAAGGCCACCTGTGGACCACATTAGTTATTTCGTTTTGCTGTACCTCTGTCCCTAAAAGTTATGTAAAGATCGCTTGCTTGGAGCTAATGATTGAGCCTCTCCTGTTCCCTAAAGTATCGTATGGAACTCAGACTGGATGGCAGGCCACCGAGTTTCACTTTGTTGCTTAAATTTTTTACCTCATTCCCATAGGGAAAATGATATTTTTTTGACATGCCACTCATGCATTAGAAAAAAATAACCATCACAGCTCAGGCCATGCCAACCTTGACTCTTTTAACGCCTCCCGCCATGGCGACAGTACCGGGCGGCCACCAGGTCGATGTCCTTCTGGAGACTGCGTCGATGACGGGTAAACTCCCATCTCCTCTCTCTCTCTCTCTCTCTCTGCCCTCGCTCTCTCTATCTTTGTTGTGTGGATCTAGGTACTGCATGATTAGCGCTTCTAGGATTTACTATTATCGATAGTGTTGCTTTATATCTCACTGCTATACTTAAAGTCTCTATTGTTCATACTGTTGCTTTGTATCTCGCTTCAATACTTAAAGTCTTCTGCCTCACTGATGGTTACATTACCTTTGCAAGAGCCGCTGTATAGATGGTTCTTACCTGCCTAATAATTGCTACGTGTTATATTGGATGATGATCTGCTTATGTTTCTGATAAAGTCCTATACTTTCGATCTCTGTTCGACAGGATCTGTTTATTGGGATTGGTTGTTCACGATCAGGTATCTCATGATACTTTATCCCTATTTGTGTTGTCGGATTCGTCGCCTGACGCTCTAGCTATTTGGTATAGTTCCTACATTGCAGGGATGATGGATTTAGTGTTGGTTCATTATTTGGTATCTTGGATTATGAGCTTTGTGTGTTATAATAGATATACATAGAGTTATGGACTCACAGTATGGGTAGAAATTAACACCACACTTTTAGTTAATGTTGCAGACCAGATATTAGAGTATATGCTTATGCACCTAGCCAAATCAGCAAAGCTTTTCAGGTCGGTTATCTGTGATCCTCATCATTGGTCTTCCTTCATTTTTCGCATTTTTTGACTTTTATCTCCTTACAGGTCACTCAGTTCCTAGATGGCTTAAAGCTATATAGTTTGGGGTGGAACAGATGGTTACCAAACTCTTATGAATACCGATATGAGCGGGGCCTATTTTGCTGATTACTTTATGGCGCCACCTATTTGCTCATTTCCGTCGGACCCTAACTTTCTTCAGGCTAATGTTGACTATAGTGTTGGGTGCCTTGCTTTTTTAATGGCTCGATGCATATAGTTTGGTCGGATTCATCAGGCCTAATTGATTGCTGCTCTTTTTTTCCCCCTGAAATAGTGACAGAGAATAACAATCCCTGGAATACTAGACACCCAATTATACTAAATCCATGGAGTGTAATTTTCGATGTATATGGCCAGATACTCCTACAACATGATCAGGTGATGATCTACAATATCTGATGATTACATCATAAATTATGTTTAACTTTTACAGCAATGATCACGGGAGATCTTTCCTTCTTGTGTTTTTCTTTTTCTAGAATTCAGCCTATTTTCGGTGAGTTCCGTTCTTAATGTTTGACTGATTTGGTGTGTTCGAGTTTTATTAGAATCAAATTGGGTTTGAACCCATTCCTGGTGAATTTTGGACAGCCTCCGTTTGTACACTGCATACTATTGTGCTTTTGAAACAATGGTTTTCACATACACAGCAATAGCAAAAGCAGCACTCTTCTAATTTTCAGAACCGTGACTCCTTCCCAGCAACAGTTACCTACTCATTGTCCTTATCTAATTTTCCCACCTTTTATTGGTTTGATTTTTTGGGTGAATTTGAGAGTTGTTTAGTCAGCAGGCTTATGTACTGTTCCGAAACTTATTGAGAAGCAATAGTTGCCAGGCTGCTTTGGTTTCTCAGTCTAGCTGCAATGCAGCGTGTGCTATTCCTCCGACCGCCAGATAACTCCTGACTGAGTTTGGACAACAAGTTCAATCCGCTGAACCTGGTAGCTGCATCTCCTTTCAGTGTTTTAGTCATCGGGAGTAGTAGGATTTCGTGGCTGCAATCTACCAGGAAAACATCAGTTGTAGCTAGGCCAATATTATCTATGCACTCCATAGCTTGTGTAACAAATTTGTACTATTCTGGAATTCAAATACAGGTATCTTATTTGCATTTGCTTTTTTCAGTTCCTAATTCCCATGACTCTAGACAAAGGAAGTTATCAGTCATGGTTGATCCTATCCGCTTTTACCTTGAATCGCTGCATCCATTGTAAAATGCTTATCTACTTTTTCCTGTTTAAAACTGGAAGCTGAGTGCTGATCAAGTACTTCTTTGCATCCATCTAGAATCCACTGTTCTCTATTTTCATACATAAAAATAAATGTATTGTCTTCTATCTCCTGCTTGTTTCAAAGTTCTGCTATATACATATTAGAGGTTCATAGTATGATAGTACAGGTCTTGAATTTCCATTGGTAGTTCTACATTTGCCTACCACATTAACAAGCAATTTATCCATTGCAAACTTGGGATCAAACGAACAAAATCAATGATGCTTTGTACATTCACTAAAATATTGTGTTTCTTGTGCTTACTCACACTTAAATTTGAAGCTCCCTCTTCATGACACTACTTAACTGCTAATGTCGATTTATTGTACAGAGTGTTGCTTCATCTGGTTGATCTGTTATTTTTTTTATAATGTCTCTTCTGAGAAGATTACATTTTAAGTTTACATAAGCTAGCCTTGTATCTTGCTTCCAGTAATTTGTTAACATGGTGGTACACTATTTTTTCAGACAAACAAGAGGCAGTGAGGAAGATGATGGAGACCTCAGGTATCTATGAATCTTTTTTCTAGATCTCTGAATGTCTTCCCTCCTAATGCTACAGCTGTCATATCCTTATTTTTCCTTCTTCATATTCTGGATGCACCAGTAGTTAAGTTGATCCGTGCCTGATATGTTATATACAGTACACGTATCATAAGATAATATAGCTCAGTTAACTGATGATGTAACTGATTAGAGGAACATACTAAGAATTTCCGTAATGAAAACCTCTTGGATTCGAATGGAATTCATAGGAACTCTGACCTGTTGCTTAAGACTCTAAGGCGGTTAAGAAGACAAGTTTTTCCCAAGCTATCCTTGCAGATAGAAAGGCAAATCAGATTGCCCACATCGGAAACTGATTTTTTTTAGCAGTGTTGTTTCATATACAATTCTAGGTTCTATTCATGACATAGGTATCTACTGCCATTTCCATTTACCTTTGTAGGGTATACATACAATATACATAGACAGCTAACACATTAAGGGTGCACTTCAATGGCGTTAACATCTCAAATTTGCTTGCTCTTCATTTTCAGATTGATGTCAATTTGTCTGGTTCGTCATATCGATCTTAAACAACGTCAACACTACACAGATTATGGACGTTGTAGTCATCCCTTATTTATTGTTGCAGGACACAGGCTGCTCATTAAGAGGGCACACATTGAAGCCCCCAAACAAATGGCCAGCCATTGATCAACATCTGCGTTCAATTTTACCTATGTATAATTTGGCTCCTCAGCTTCTTCTATCCTTTTGTGCACTTATCCAAGGGAGTCTTAAAGAAGATTACCATGAACTGATCCCAAAAAGACTGAAGAGGAGACCACCATGATCTCCATAACCATAAATGTAAGCGAGATATGCTTGTGTAGCTGGTTGAACATATTCTGAGGGCCTTGTGTATGACCAGGATATTGTCTACTATTGTATAGACTCGTCTATGTAGATCAAGCTAGCTTTTCTTCATTGTACTGCTTTGTTGTGTCAAGGATGAGTAAAGGATAAATGATTCAGGGCTAGATGACTTTTTTCTAAGTCTTCAATTCATAATATACTAAATCAATGGAACAGTTCAGTTTCATACATGTATTGCGCACTTGAACATTGTACTGCTTTCAACTTTATACTTCAGTTCACTCAGATTTCTAACGCGCCCATTGTTACACAAAATCTCCATTTACAGGCACACAGGCGCGCGGATGCGCGCGCCAATCTACTAGTTGAAGTCAAAACTAATACGCCTAGAGTGCCATTCAGCCATTACGCTGGTACTGTGGTGAAGTCGACAATAGCACCTGGTACAAGCCTCTCACCAGATGATCAAGGACTAACTTTAATAGATAGATCCCAGCTACACTTGCGTATGATTAGGCCACAAAGGAAAATAAACTTACAGACAGTACGTCACAAAGAGTTCTAACACAACCACCATGAAATGGTAGGATGTACAGGCCGCCTATGATTCGTGATAACAAGCCTTACAAAAAGGAAACCTCAAGGTCAACCGGCATCACAGAAGGCTGCCTGTAATGGCACTCTTACTGTCTTGCACAGTTAGGCTACATTTTTCTAACGTAGCATTTTGTTCAGTAGTTGTAGTTAATAGTAACTAGCAATCAAGGCGTGGTACTCCTAGAACTAGATGACCAAGTGTTCCTCCAACCATTCTGGCAACTGGCACAATGCATTTCTCTTAGATTGTCATCCATTTGCAACTGATTGAGGGAATTCGATGAAGACTTTTCACCTTTAGAGAGGTGATATGAACAATAATTGTAAGCTATAGTTAGTGATGTAGTATAAACCCAGTGAGCATCAGGTACCAAGTCAGCAATCAAGCCCATTTCCTGAGAACAGTGAACTAATCAGTACTATGTAAACTGTTATCAAATAAACCCTAAAAATCAGGAAGAGATCATCTTACTGTTAGGAGCATGGGCTCAAAAGAAACCCATTCCCACCCCGTAGGCATCTAGCGTCTTGAGACTAGTGTTTTCCTTCCAGACTTCTCTGCAAAACCTGTTAGCAGCAACCTCTGTCTGAATGTATGGTATGTCTCCAAACTAGTCCCAGCCCACCTCTGGCAAAAACGCTCATCTGTGGGCACAAAGGAGCTCAGAGGAAATGGACCCTTTGGAGCTTTCTTCAATGAAACCAGAAAACGGTGGCGGGGACGGATTCTCTGATCAAGAGACAAGCTCAGGTACATAGGATATTTCGTTAAGGATTGAACCTCATTCTTGAGGTCATTGACCAAGTAAAGATACTTTGGCTTGAGATTGTCCTCCAATGACAAAGATAACACCTGACATGGAATGTGCAACGGTACATATACCATGAGACCCATGTACATTGTACAACGAACATAATTGTACACGGAAAGCAAGAACAGAAAGAATGGGGAATGATGACACGAGTGAAGTAATAATACCTGAGTAAGACTTGTCAATACTTTGAGAATGTCAGTGTTTCTCATACCAATGCTTCTTAGGAAATTTATTCGAGGTAAGATTCCATCCTCAATGCTGTAGTGAAGCAGCTGAGGGTGTTTTGTGACCATCTTAACAATGCTATCTTTGGGAGCACCCAGTTCTTTTGACAGGAAAAGCGATCGAGATTTCCATGCACTATCAATTTTCTGCACCAGAATCTGTGGGCTTAGCTGCACTACTTTCCCCACATCACTCTCCTCAATACCTACTTCCTCAATCAGATACCTTACAGTTGGCTTCAGAGACTGCTCCACACTGTAAGAAAACATCGAAGGGGCAGCAGAAATAATTTGTCCTATTCGTGTATTTGGAACTCCGATGCTCACGAGAAAATCAACATGAGATTTCAGATTTCCGAGGGTGTATTTGAGAATCTGTGGCTGCCTGACCAGTATCCTCTTCATATCCTTGCTTTTAACCCCAGCATTTAGCAGGAAATCCAACCTTTCTTCTGCTGAAGCCTGACTGATTTGAAAGCAGGCCATGTGTCTCTCATAGATGTAAGTAAAATGAGATTCATTTAGTCCAAATGTGCACAAGTAATCAATCAGCGGTAACCATTTGTCATCGAAGTCATATTCTTCTTGTAGTTTCTGGAACAGACTTCGAGAGATACTTGCATTTTTCAACTGCAATGACAAACAACCGTAACTTAGTGCACCTAAAAATCAATAATATGGACAGGTTACATTTACATGCTGAGTAATTTACCTCAACTTCACTGTCCATGTTCGTAAGATCTGCTGATGACCGTCCCACTTTACTCCTAGGATGCAGGGACTTACTTTTTCCTGGACTGTCGTATTTATCACGGGTTTTGGGTTGTCTTCCTTCCCAGTTTTCTTTCACCAGTGGAGTTTGCAGTCCTGGAGAATTAGAGATTAAGTACGAAGTAACCGCTGTTTCTAAATAGATTTAGCATAGCTCTTAAGATACCTGGTCTCTTGCTTGAAGCACGAGGGCTGTTTGAATAAAGTACACCAGGATATTCCAAACCCGACATGTCATCCTGAAAAGGAAACCAAGCATAAAGTTAGGATAGGAGATATAGATGAAAAGAACTAAATGATAAGATTCCAATGTCGCGTTCCATGGACAAATAAACAAAAGGATATAAAAACACAATGTTTTTCCATGTTCAACATTTGCCTGTCATGTAATTTGAACTCAGAATTCAAAGATCTAATTTTATGGGGTGCTCAGTGAAACATATGCATTTCAGGTTCGCAGTCAATCATTCAGTGGTACTGGAACACAGCGGAGAAGTACTACATACATAATATGTGCATATAATCTTTTTTTGGTGATGATATACATATGGACTTTGATGGACTGATTCAGTAAAAATGTGTTGTTGATCAGCTACAGCCATTCAGTTAAAATTTTAGCTAATCCTTTGAGCCATTATGGTGTTCCGTCACACTGCAGCAGTGCAGGAAGATCTGTTTCTAACAGAAGTAACAGATACGCTCGCTCCATATTCAAATGTCTTCTGAAGAATATAGTATTTGCAATATGGGTCATTGGGATAGGGGGGCAATCTGCCATTTATGCAACTTCATACCTTGAAGCCTTAATCTGTTGATGCTGATTTTGAGGAACACTGACCAGATGCTAATGATCAGACAACAATCATGCCACACTGCCTATTATTCACAATATGGTGCAGCTTGGGGGAACAGAGAAGGCACCAGTAATGAAGGCAAACAATTGCACACCAGAGAAACATGTTGGAAGGAAAGTGCAGGAGAACGCAAACAGCCAAACACTACAAAGTCAGTATTTCCAATCCTACAAGCCAAACCGCATAAGTGGCAAAATGGCAGCTTAAACCTTACAAGTCGCTAGATTTTAGGTATTTGTTCCTCATGGTTCATGGCGTGTGACTATACAAGGACACCCGTTTAACTCGTTCAGCTCACCATGAGAACTGTGTATTGCACATGTGAACCGCAAAATAGCAAGTCTTGTTCAATTGATATTATGAATATGGCATTTCTAAGATGATATGATCCAATGCTGGCAGGGATCAGGTGTTCTATCAAGCAAACCTATGTGGACGATAAGTGAGGAATGACTACTAGCAAATTGGCAATGGGGTTAACTTACATCGCTCTCGTAGCCCTCGTCGTCATCGTCTTCATCGAACTCCGCCTCCTCCTCATCGTCCTCGTCCTCGTCCTCGTCGAGGTCGTAGTAGGGGTCCCGGGAGCGGCGGACGCGGCGGTTGGGCTTGAGGAGGCGCACGTTCGTCTGGAGCGAGAACGCGACGCCACCGGCGCGGGCGTGAACGGCGGTCGCGGAAGCGGAGGCGCCATGGGCAGGGGAACGGAGGAGGATGGAGGGCCTGGCGGCGGCGAGCGGCCGCGGCAGCTGCAGCTGCAGCGCCATCGACCGAGCGAGGGGGGATTGTACGGCGCAGCCTTGGATTTTTATTTTTGGATTATCTGCGGCGGTGGGGGTCGGTGAGGGGGGGTCCGTTTGGATGGGGACGAAGGAAGAATCTTGCGGGCGGACTGACACTGACGTGGAGCGGAATCGCACAGGGGGAGGGGATGTCAGGACTGCGAGTTGCGGTGACGTGGAGCGCTTCAGGAGGGTTTAACGCTACTGGGCCGAAACAAGATTGGGCTGCGAGTTGCGGTGATGGGCTGTAATTTGGGCGGCGGACTCAAGTCGCATTCTACGGCCTTTTTTATGCCACGGTCTAAAGTTTAATTTGGGTGAAATTAAAAGACTAAATTTTAGATCACTTTAGCCTCACTTATTATGTAATTGAATAATCTAAAAAAAACTTATGTGATTTAATAAACTAATGGATTTTTGTGGCGTTGTCTAATTTTTAGACATAACTTTAGACCCGTTTTTTGGTCTCCAGAGCTAAAGTGGTTTAAAGTTCCCCTATATGATTTGTTGCATGTTTGGATTATGAAACAAATAATCTTCCTTTTCTTATACAAACACAAAAAAAAACAAATCTATATCTATAATAACATTAAAGTTTTTTAGATAATAGAAAATAGTTTTGGCTTCAGGCTTCTTCGAAAAGAAACATCGGTCCACGCAGAAAAACAAGAAAGCACACCCAACGTTAAAACTTTTTACAAGGTTCTGAACTAGAGACTAAGTGGGTACACAAAATAACATGCATTAGACACGAAAAACTACATGACACTTGTTTCAAGTAATTTGCATGCCTCGCAAATCTTATCTCTACAATCATCCGTGCGCTGTGAGCGAGCCCAAAATCGAAGTCAGCGCGTTGTCCTGAAGAGAACCTACAAAAAATGTTTCTGAGTGACCATGTCAAAGACAAAATCGTTCCTTGTGAACCAAATTATCCAGCAAAGAGAAGCAACCCCAGTCAATAATAGGTAATTCTGTTTGTTGCCTCCCATTTTAAACCAACTATGGAACAAATGTAAATTGCTTGTTGGTTGTTTGAAGCCAAACATCAAATAACCCGCTTGCCCTAGAATCGATCACAATGACACTCAAAAATGTTAAATCATTTCAGACTTACTACAGAAGCAATGAATCTTACTCTCTTCCAATTTCTTTTAGCTAATATTATCCTTTGTAAGTAACACAACATGTTTAAATGCCATAGAAAAATCTTGATTTTTAAGGGAACTATCATATGCCAAATTTCTTACAGAACATTAAAGTCCATTAACAACATTAAAGATAGAAAGAATTCTTCTATTCGTGAACTTCTCATATTCTCATTGTCCAAATTTCACCATCCATACTTATACAAGTTAGAATGAACATTAAAGTCCATTAACAACATTAAAAGATAGAAAGAATTGGACGCTTCTATTCCTGTTGCTTTTTTCTGAGTTTGCATGTCATTCTGTATGTAATATTCTCATTGTCCATATACGTTAGATCTAGACTCACCATCCATACTTCTTCTTTGACAGACAATTGTTAGAATATATACACGAAACTTGAAAAACAAAAAATTCCATGGTATCAAGTCCTATTCTAAGATAATTCTTGAAAAATGACAACTGGCCCTCCTACACATTCACGCAGATGATATAGGACGGCTTGCATGTGAATATAGAACTTTTAGTGAGAATGAGCTTTATAAGAATATATAGATATAGATTATTAGGGTTTATTAAGCCACCATTTAGGATTGTAGCTACAAATATAGGCATAGATTATTAGGGTTTATTAAGCCACCATTTAGGATTGTAGCTACAACTAAAGCTAGATGCGCCACTACTACCGGCGGGCTATGGAAGAGGACCATGGCATTAATCTATGCTTCCTATAGGCTATCTAAATGCATCACGCACGGTACGGACCTATTTAGCATAGATCTATCTACAAGATCTGTAGAAGATTTAGAGTTTGAAATAAAATAAAATTTGCACTTTGAACATATTTGTTTCATTCAAACAAAATTGCTTAGCTAAATAATATATGCCTTCAATGCTCATAGCTCTAGCTCCAAAAACATTTAGAACTATATATACGAGCAGTTTAAAAAAATTCTCGACCCTGAAAGTGCCTCAAACATACCCCTTAGGTTTAACCTTGTCGAGAACCATTTGACAAGATCTTTCGAAAAAGAGAACCGTTTGACACTTCTTTTTTAAAAAAAAAAAAACTAACCATTTCCTTTACATGCATTTGTACCGTATTTTGTCATGGTACGCTAACCGAAAGCATCAACCATGAACCATTTATGGAGAAACCATATATCACTTACGTTGAGAAGAAAACTCCTTTACATTTGTACTACTTTATCATGATACACTCAACCATGGCTATGTATGCATATGGAAACAAACTTATCTGAAATATAATAAAATAGAAAAGCTAACGTGCCAAATCGAGAGAACCGTAGTATGTCGTCAGTAACGGTACAACCAATGGCTGAGTCATTAGAGCAGGAATAGTGACGACTATCAAGTTAGGTCATTTTGGATCTACTCCTCTAAACTTTAGAGGGTAGTTTAAAGTTAGCTCTAAATTTTAATTTGCCTCACATTAGAGCTATAGATTTCAAGACTGAGTTAAAGTGCACTAAAGTTTTTAGAGCTTTAAAGTTTAGAGGAGAGGATTCAAATAAGCCCATAGTGGCAGGGGTAACAAGGAGGCTACTGTGGATGGGATATATATAGCCAGGCTAGGATCTCTCGGGTGGATGACGGGAGAGAGGGAGGTGAGTGCAAGTACTATGTCTGTCCTGAAAAAATGCAATCCTCGCATATCGAAAAATAGTCACACAACAAAAGAATACACATGTCTCTACTCTTTTTTATCTCTACATATGTCAATGGGACAAAAGTAAATGATTGTATCTATAAATTTTATGTTTTGTTTCATCATATATCTATAGGTAAACACTTAGCATCTCTATAACGGTTTTTATTCTTTCTATAATTTTTTTTGCTCTCTCCATGGAACTTTGTAACCTTCTCTATTAATAGAAATTGACACAACTAGTGCCTATTCGTTAAAAAAACCATAAGCCTAGAGTTTTTTTTTTGGACAATCTAGAAGTCCTAGAATTACATTCTTTTCTAGGGGGAGTAAGAGAAATGACATGATTGACAGAGGAAGAAGTTGAGCAACAGAAATGGAAGAAAAAGACTAAGGTACTACAAGCAATCACACTCGTTGATATAAAATAAATAACTACTTCTATTTTGCAACAACAAATTTAGGCAAGTGTGGCTAGAAAATGTAGAGCCACACTTCATACCATGCATATAGAACCTAAAAAATATTCTCTAAATTTAGTTGCTCACTAAACATACTTGTCAACTTTGTCAAACTTGTCTAATGAAAAGTGTGGCAAAGTAACAACCAAACACCCACATATAAAATAGACCAAACAAAATACATTCCTTTCGGTCTCTCTCTCTCTCTCTCTCTCTCAAAAGGATTTCAAAACGCAAAGTTTCCTATGCGATGAGTTGCGCTCGGAGCCGAGCGCGTGACACCCACACCTAACCACGCCCACCGGAGACGAAGAAGAAGACAATGGCGGCTAGGGTTCCGGTGAGGAGCTCACCGGCGTCGAAGACGAGGAGTTTGTCGATGTTAGGTAAGGGGGTTTGGGGTGCGGTGGCCGCGACATGGTGGTGGAGGTGGGCCAGATGGCAGCGGGGCGGGGCAACGGGAGAAGGTGGTTGGGCGGGGCTGGTGACAGAGCAGTCGTCAGCGACATGTTTTGGTATTAGGGGAGGGCGAGGGAGGGGGTGGTGGAGGAAGGGTGTCAGGAACGGAGAAAAAGACGAGTGGAGAGAGCGTCGTGGCAGAGAAGACGATCGCGCGATATCGGCCTCCATTTCGAAAGGATTTCTAAAGCAGCTCAATTCTCACGAGATATCGGGAGTATAATCACACCTTTTTTGGAAAATAAAAGGGCTAAACTTGTTGTCGACAGATTTTGGAAGATCCATACGGCCAATGTACAAATCGTATCAACATTGATTGCATGGACTCTCACATGGAAAGTACTGAAACGTCGATGACCAAGAATAGAAGAGGATAAGCATGTCCATCAAAATAAACCGATTTTTCGCTCGGAAAATAAAAGATTTTTGAGGGATCACGCCACGGGATCATCACTCCACTCATAGGCTGCTTCGTTTGGCTGCTACCAACCATAGAGTCCACCGCGCAGGCGGCAGGCAGCGCCGCACCACGGCTCACGAGTTGGGCGCAGGCACCAGCCTGAATTTTTTATTTTTCGGTCCTTTTTTGAAAAATATTCACAAATAGACTCATGATGGTTTGATTTTCGTTTATGAACCGTGACCTGGCGTCGACGTGCACAAGTCCTCGGCGCCATAGATCTTGGCGCCGAGCTGTTACCCTATAGCTTTTGGCGTTTGAAATAAAACAAGTATAATTATTCCGAAGAACATGCAACAACGTCAATGCGGTTTAGTTTGTTAGGATGCGCGCGACTTAGCTCAAAGGCCTGAGTTCGAACCCCAGCGCTGAATCTTTTTTTTGCTACATTTTTATAAGCAATAGAACACGTCTCGTATTTGAAACCGAAGCTTGCCGTAAGTAGTTGAGACTAAACCAAAATTCTGTTCCCAAATCTCAGTTCCAAACAGTTTTGCAACCTTTTTTTGTGAATTAACAGTTTTGCAACCTTTTAAGTGAATGCTCTTGCTAACAATTCCTAAACTAGTACTAGTACTTGCAAATACTCAATCAGATCGTGACAGAGCCAGTGCAAGAATATTAAACAGCCTGGGCATCTGCAACGACATGTCTTCTCCATTTGTTATCCCTGTTTGTTCTTATGCTACTGCTGATTCCATGCCTTGCTTGACTGACGATACATTTTTTCTCCACTGGATGCATTCCTGAGGCATGCACTTCTGTTGCCTGTTGGTGCAAGCAAATAT